TAAAGGTGCATTAATATATTTCTTTTTACACAAAAGGTTGAGTGGTAGCCAACAAAATGTGTGTGTGCCTGAAATTAACTAAATTACTGCAATGACTATATTACACAATAATATTTAAAATGTACTTTAGTTTGTAGGAAACCTATTTTGGGGTAACAGTAGAACTTCACAAAGTAAAAAGAAAGTAAGATCTGAAAAAGAGCTAGTGTGCCATGTGACTAATTTTTGCAATCCATATAGAAAGAAATATTTAGTAGAGCGCTTTGTGAATGTATTGCCAAGCATTGCAACTGTGTGTACCTACTTACAAAGGTGTATGTTATTATTGTATATGCATATGATCATATCCCAATCAATCAATCATTCTCTGAATGTAAGAAATAATATTTGCATCTCTCCTGTAATGGGTGTTTGTTTTAGTTAACTGAAATTTAACTCTTGCTTCCAAGTCTATGCAAATTAGTTTATTGCCAATCAACATTTATTTGCCTTTCACTCAGTGCTGAAACGCCAAAGCCTAAAGACAGATCATATTGTGCCGTTCGAGTAAGCCTGTGGACCTACGCAATTATTTTCTTTTGTTTTGTCTAGCAAACATTCGATAATCTTAGTTGTATGGCTACAGGAAGTTATCCATATTCTGTTTCTCAATATTTTGTTTAGTCTTTCAACAGTGTCCTTTGCTGATTTGTATGCTTTACTGCCAGCAGAGGGCTCTTAGTTCACACAAACTATGTCACCTCTGTAGAATTGATCTGCCTGAACTAACTTTTGCTGAGTATTTCCTGCACTAACTACTTTGCTTTGTAACATAATAATTGTCAAAATTCAGTGGATGCCTTAAGAAAAAAAAAGGAAAAACAACCACCTTTGATTTCAATAAAAAAAAATTTGGCACATTTTCTTTGTGAAATGGGATTGTGTGTTTTGCATGAAAAATGACTGCGTGTGGATTTTGTGCTCTAAGCAGATGCACAATGAACGATTTGCATGTCAAAGCCAGTCTCATTTGCACCACCTAGGTCTGTATTACAGCGAGTGGGTAAGCCCCCTCCACCTCTGAGCATCATGAGCGGCAGCCTCTTGTCAAAAGGTGTGAATAATGTGGCTTACATAAGTTCTGTTTGTGCGTGCGTGTTTGCTTTATAATCTGAGAAGGGGAGAGAAATTCATTCAGGTGTGCTTTGAAGCTCAAGTGATATGGAGCGGAGCTTCATAGAGCTTTTCTCAAGGCTATAAATAGTGTCCATATTGGAGACACGGGTGTCCTAAAGTTGTCTTTCTGTTGTGTTCAGTAGCCTCGAAGTGCAGCCTCAGAGGGGATGTGTTCGTGAGACAAATAGCTTCTTTGCAAACCTTGCTTCTTGTACACTTTCTAACTTTTCATATACACCCGAAATGAAAACAGTCCACCAGCCTGAGGACAAAGAATGATAAATATTTGATGTTGGCATTTGTGTATTTTCTCTCTAGCTAAGATTTTGCACTGATATCTTGTGAAAGATATAGGTCAAAGTGAAATCAAACGGGGGAGAGAGGAGGGCTTCCATTTAGCTTGCTTTTACTTTAAGAGGAGGACAGAACACTTCCGTGATCCTGATTTCTAGACAAAGTGCTTTAATTATTAACTTGTCGATGTGATGGCATAGTGGATGATGCACTCTTTATGGAGCTTGGGACACAAAGACGTCTGTCCACGTCACTGGGCCAAGTGGAAGGTGCAATAGCTGTGAAGAGCAGCCTGAACTAGGCCTTAGCCTGAGGCTTTTTTTCTTATATTACTTGTAATGAAATTTTAAGAGCTTCTCTTAAAACTTGTAATATCACAAAACAAAGGTCTCAATAAAGGTTTATTTCAGACGCAGTAAATCTGCAGTTCATCACCAGCCTTTTAATACTATCATATAAACAATCAGTGTGAGTAAGTATTGAGCAATTTCTTTTTTTATTTGCAGTGGATTTTCTCCAGCCATCCAGTGAGGATTGTGCAGCTAAGTGACATTTGGTTGCCAGGGACCTAATCCTGCTTTAAACTTCATGAGTGCATATAAGCAAATTACAAACCCAAGGATTAGATGAACAACACATAATGAGATGTAGCAGCAGATATCACTATCCAGCATGCAGAGTGGCAGCCTGTGGGGCTTGAGGCTCTTCCTCTGATTTTTGACAGAGTGAGAAAATAAATCCTGTCCAACCATATGCTTTTATTTGTGTGTCAGGAGAAGCAATATACCAGAAGACAGCGTAGAACTCTATAAATTGCTCCCACTTAATGTTAAAAGCAAATGCAAGATTTCAGTGTTTTGAATCTGTTTGATGCTTTTAGGAATTTACATAATTCCTAAACATTGCAACTTGTTTTCTTGGTAAGCGGTGAATAGATTTCGGTGAAATTAGTGCAGTTGTTACATAATTGTTAAAGCTGTTTCGAATTTAAGAGGGGAAATGTATAGGCACACTGTGTACCACGTTAAGCTTTAGCAAGCTCTAGCTAAGAGTGAAAATCCTCATAAAGGGAATACGCTCTAGCTCTATGTTAAAAAGTACTAGCAATTATCATAAACAAGCTTTAAGTAGATTTCCACACATCTCCAGTTTAGCTGTGAACACATATAGATATAGACATATAATCTTACATTTAATATTGCTGTCTGATTCTAAACAATTTCGTTTTCGTAAGGATTTTATCTTTTTGTGACGTCTCCCTCCTTTGAGACCTGATGGATTATGTGGAGCAGAATAAAGCTTGCAGAGCGGGGCAGTTGTGTCAGGGGACAATCCAGATGAGAAACAGGCAACTACAATCTGGAGGTATAATCTCCTCACAAAAAAGAGAGATCAAATCATGAAATAAGAGCTGCTAGATTTCCCTTGTAATCAAATAATAGCCTATTCAGATGCCCACAATGTATGTGTGGGATTTTCTGAGCAGACTGGGTTTTAAGAAGTCAAGCAATGTCCGATTTGTAATCTAGTAATATTTACATTTAAAACTGCTTAAGTGTTAAATGTGTTTGAATTTGCATCCATAAAATTGCTACCTAATCATTAGCTGTGTTTTGGAGAGTGAATCACTGTATTACATGGTATGACTTGATGTGATAGTAGAAACATATGATAAACTCTTATAAAATGTACAACAAAGTCATAATAAGTGTCATCCACTGTATCTAATACAATGTGTGTACTGGCATATAGTTATTTTAACCTTCAGCCAGTTAGTAATTATCATTAGAATAAATAATAATAATAAGAAAATTCGGAGGAGAAGATCATCTGGTAATTTTGTGATTTTAGAGCAGTGCACAACCTTTCATCAGTAGGTTTTACTGTAGAGATGACCTGTGATCAGTGACTGTTTCACCAAAAGTACATTTGTCGGCCAGAAACAGTATTTCACTAGAAAAACTGAGAAGTGAAAAATGATCTTGTTCAACAGAATATATATGATTTTATTTTATCACCCTTCATATTCTTCTTGCTGCACAAGAGGGTTAAGGAACCACCAGTCACAGAAATATCTCTGACTTTTTGTCACCTATGAAGACAAATTTCATTAGACCCTGAGAACCTCATGTTATCTTTTGTAAAGGATGCTGAAAGAGTCATCAAAGCTTCCCAACTAAGGTTTTAAACAGTTTATATACTTCACTTAATACAATTACACTCTGGAAATGTTTACGGTTGATTCTGTTATTTCTAGACTTGATATACAACACTTTATGAAACCACTGGGTGGATGAGGAAATGGTTCATCTAAAGCTGGAAAAGAATAAATGCTTACCCAGCGCTCAGTTAATAATTTAATAGTAACACTTTGTCATATAATCACTGCTATATAGATCTCTATATAGCAAAAAAAATTAAGCTAAATGCCTGATATTGCAACTGTGTAGACTATAAAGGTGACTTCTTAATTTAACTATGAGGTCTCCAATATCATCAATCACATCCGAAAACACTAGGGGAAGTAATTCAGGAAGTCTCTGGTACATAATGAGCTACATAAAAGGTCAAAAACCAACAATGAATGACCCTTGAACAGCGCTGTATTCAAAACAGACTGAAAGCACGTCACTGGTTCAGAACTACTTCTCATTCTTAGCAAACGTTTTTCGTCCACCAAGAAAAAATATCTAAACTAGATTTTTAATTGTTTACATTTTTAAATATTATGGATAAGATGTAAAAGAGTGACCAATACAAAGGTTTGTAGCAATACAAAAGCCAACATCTTCCATGGGTGTGCATTAGTGCACATGATATGAGTTACCTGCAAATCTGTGCAGGTTTTGCTGCCCTACTGGCACTGTGGTCTTTTTCAGGGAAGACCTTGGTTATTCCACTACACTGTGCATGTACTACAGAAGCATGATCAGCAGTTAAAGTCTACACCAGTCTGCTAGTATTCCAACAAACACTGAACATATTTGGCACACTGGGAAACTAGTTATACAACAAGGGAAGTACAACGCATTTTTTTCTTTAAAATAAAGCAAGAGTTTTCAAACATTTTCTTTCTTAACAAGAAATGATGCAACACAGGAGTAAAAGTCCAACACTCTCGAAAGATTTTGGCCCCAAAAAGTAAAAGCTTAAACCTAATACGTTATATTATTACACTTATTTTGCAATTAATTGTGGGGTTTATATAATTTGCATCATTTTAGCTTTTTGGGAAGGGTGTGTAAACTTTCAAAAACTGGGCATAATAATGAAAATTAAATCGTCCTCAGCTAAAAAAAAATAAATAAATACTTGTGAGTGAAAACAAGCCCGTCAGTATTGTTTTAGTGTGTTTTTATTGGCATTATTGAATGCCTTCCACATAACTAACTCACACAGAAAGCGCAAAACCAGTATTACATAAGTTGTGGTAATAATTACAGCGGTAATTATAGCGGCGGGAAGCCAGGTGCGTCTAAAAAAAAGCCCCGCCCACGTTTACCTTAAATGTCCATTGCACGGAAATATGATTGGCACAGGGTTACAGCTGCTCGAACGGTGAGACATGGCGGAGTTTGTAGTCTGACTGAGAGCGCTCCTGGAGACTTTCCACACTTTTCAACATGACTAAAGAACTTGATTTGACGCCGAGGTTGTTTCCGTAGCGCAGGCAAAGCGGGGCTTAAAGAGGCAGAGGCGTCATTTTTCCGAAAAGGATAGAGAGCGGCGGTTGGGAAAATGTGTTGTCATCTTCATGCAGTCAACAGCCTTGGGCAACAAATATGGCTACTTCTTGTGTATCCGTCAATTCGGGTTGAAAACCGTCCTGACTGGGTCGAGCGGGGTAGTTTCGCAGAGTCACGGCAGTAGCCCGAAGTTAAGTTGACTACCAGAAAGATTAAAAGGCTGGGTTTGTCCCGAGCTGGTAAACAGCGGACGAGCGAAGCGGAGAGGAGATGGAGCCCAAGCACAAAGAGTTGTTGGAGAAATGTTACCAGAACTTGGTGGAGTCAATAACAGATGCGGACAGAGTTGTGGACGCGTTGGCTCACTGCGGGACCCTAAGCCAGCCAGAGCGCTACGAGCTGGAGCACAACTGCACCTCCAACTCGGAAAAAGTGGACCTTCTGCTGAAGCTACTAATGAGTAAAGACGGGGACCATTTCGCAGAGTTTTGCACTGCTCTGGAGACAACACACCCTCACCTGCAATCTTTATTGCTGGATGGCATTGGACCAGTGGATCATACGAGTGGTGAGAAACAATTAAAGTGTTAACGACCTCCTAATTAAATTGTTATAAGAGTATAGTGTTTATGAAGAAGGGGCGACGTGTCAGAAGTTAGGGCTTTATCTAAAATACAGTGAAACGGTGTGTTTGGGCCCCTTGCTTTTGATATTGCTTATGATCCAACCTGTTTTCGATCCTCTCCTGAGCATGATCTAACAAACATTAGTGCTATTGACCTTATGACAATTTGATGAAGGGCATGACTTTTCCTTTGGGCAAGACTTTTCAGGGCACAATCATGTGACCTGATGCCTATTTACACTCTCACTACTGTGCTTGTTTCATTTAGCATGTCACCAAAAGTACAGCCTGCTAGCTTTTTTTGTGAAAGCATTTAATGGACCTAAAAAGACTCAATCAATGTAGGGAGGGACTGACTGTGTGTGGGAATCAATAACCCACTATCATAGTCAAACGAATGAGAGATGAATCAAATGCGTTTTAGTGCGCACTGTGCAATGAATTACTCGAGGGGGATATAAACTGGAGAATAAAGGGCATCAGTTTGATTTGTTTTTGGTGTAAAACTAACTACAGTTAAGATTATGTCAGCACCGGTAAGTAAATTACCTTTTTAAATAACTAATTGTACGGTCTTTACAATGTTGCAACTTAAAGGCATTCAGCAAACTATTGTTTTATTATAAACTTGTGAATGGATTCAAAATTGCCTTTGTCCACCTACTGTAATACTCCACAGCAGATGTATAGAAAATTAGTTTCTCTGTGGATTTGTCAGTATAGTATAGTTTTACTACTAACACGATACTGTATAGTGTAATGGTATAGTGCTTGTGGAACTGAAATTATTTCAGAAGTATGACCCCTGGCAAGGAGTTTCTGATTGATTCAGTTCGTCTGGTTTAGTGGCAGGTTTATTTAAACATTATGGATGGATTGGGACTTTTAAGTGATAAATTTTTGGATTTGATACACGTATGACACCAGATGTTGCAAGATACTGCAACATTGGATTTGGGATGCACTGTCTTGATACTCTTAAATATCTCAACCTAATTCAGATGCAGTTGTCCTTCCGAATCTGAATTAGCTGGATGATAGAGTACCTTTAAGCATTACCAGAAACACAGGATCTCAAAACTCTTTTATTTATCAGTGATCAGATACACTTTTTAGAGAATATTCATCCTGCCTGCTCGGGATACATTAATATATGGACTGTTGGCTTGTCTTAAGAGGTGAACTAAAACTGCATCTTACACAACATTTAATGTTCCAAGGTATCGGGGGTTCCACCTTCGACCCTTATTATTTAACCCTTAAGTTTATCTAATGGTTACTAAATATATCTTGAAGTAAGGATAAGCCTCTGAGATAATATGGTCTCATAATGGCACAAATCGCAGATTAGTTTATAATAACTTTGTAATAGTTCTGTTTTCTATGTGGATAATCACCCTTTTTCTAACTAAGTGATAAATACATGCATGTGATTTTATTCACAGATAAATCCACAAACTATAGATATACTCTCTATTTTTTGTGTTCATCATAAATCTCTTATTGCATTCTTTGTATGCTGAAACAGTAATGATGTATTCTCTGGACTTTACCTGACATCTTATGCAATAGCATAATGCATGCACTCTGACATATGACCCTTACTCAGCACTTCTGTTGCACTTTGACATTTGAAAAACAAACAAACAAAAAAAGGAACATCCATCCAGTTGCTTTCTTGTTTGCTATCGCGTCATACTCAGTTAGCTACCAGGTGTTAATTATGCATTATTTTGGCATAATTCATAAGAGAACGCAAGCTGGACACTTCTGTTAGTTTTTCTGAGCCTTCTCATTTTTGCGCTGCATTTCACAATTGTGCATTGGGTCTAGAACTGAGTACTGATAGGCACTCTAGTTCCAAAGAGCTTTGTACATGAGCATGTTCTGGGCTAGTCATAGTAGTGTGCAAATCCCCGTTGGTAGTCACACAGGACACAAATGGGCTGAGCTGTCTTCTGCTACTGGGCAGACAGGTTCCTCCACTGTGTGGCCAAAAGACGGGCCTTTCCAGAGAAAAGCAACCTATGTTTTTACATAATATGCACCATCAGGAGCCAGTTGCAGTAATTGACAAGTCACCCCAAAAAAATATGAGAGCCACATGTTGGTAAACCCTGCCTGTTCAAATGCTTATAACATGAATGCTAAATATATCCTTTAATCACTGACCTACAAAAAGTTCCACATGATGTAAATATGATGCCTATAGTACCGAACAGGGTGTGTATCGCCCAGGGCTTGGTTGTTTGTTTGTTTTTATTTTTTTGTTTTTTATTTTTTTAAATAAAGATACTTTGTAGTTTCACATAACTATAGCTCTAAGGCCTGCCAGCGGAGACCTTTCTGTTTAGATTGTTCTCATCGTTTCTTAAGGAAGAATAACACAATGGCTGCACATTATAAGGGTGTGTATCATGGGAAGTTTTGCTTTGTCACTGCAAAACAAGAGCAGGTGTTTTGCAGTTAGCGATTAACGAGTGTTATGTAGCTCGATTTCTTGGTTTCGTTCTAGATTTTATTAGGCGGAAAGAAGAGAATCTAGTTGTCTCCAGTGGTTTTGAACTGTTGACACAGAGGGTAGTTATTGCAGAATCGGTGACTCATTAACTTTATACCACAGTACATATCAGAGTGTACTTATTTATAGAAGTAGACTGTAGAAGAAAACTGATGTCTGTGTTCGGCATGCTTTTCAGTCTTGTAACATCTATCTCGCGTAGCAGACTTCTGCTTTAATTAGAATAGCTTCTCCGCAGGGACATATGTCATTGTTGCAGTACCATCATAAATGCATATTGTGGTATTTCAAATAATTTCTTTCCAAGTCTTTCACATGTATCTCCAGAGATGAAGTTAAGTGGGATCAAGTAAAATTTCATCTGTTGCTTTGCTACTGACAGAAATGTCTTTTTTTTTTCTTTTTTTTAAGTTGAATGCTAATCGGTTTATTTGTCCAGTTAAAAGTTTGTTTACAAAGTATTAAATCAACTGAAAGGTTGTTTGGACAGAGTGATAATAATCTGTGTTCATGTATGCAGAGGAGCGCTGAGTTTTCATGGTGAAAGTTTAATGTCTGAGTTTATTTTAGAATAGAGTGTGAACAATTTAGTTATGAGAAACTCCACTGATATGAAGGGAATTTAGATAAAGTCAAATTTTTACTTAATTAATATATTTTGTATTGTTTAAGGATGTGTTGTTGGCTCATTTGTTTACTGGTAACATTTTAAAATCAGGTCAAAGACTTGGTGGGCATACTGGGATATTGAACAAAGCAGAGTGACTACAACATTAAAACCTGTGCTTTTAGTGCTATATAACTGTACCATGACTGTGCTATGATACTGGAGTAAATAAGTAAGCCCAACTTAACCCTTCTGTTGACAAAAAAAGGGCCTGAATTATATCCCTCATTAAAAGCTGTATTTTATGGTTTTCTGAAATTCAATGTTGATGGACAACACTCTGATCTATTGCTTAGAAAGTAATCTTCCCCCTTTTGTCAATTAATTACTCATTATATACAATATTTAAGTTAGAGCTTTAAGATGCAAGTAGAAAAATGCATAATTCTTTTAATGGAAAGGGGTAGCATTCGGAATATCTTTCATTTATTGTTAGTGGCACATAGTACCAGATGTGATTTAAGATCAGCACTTTACGTTTGAGCGATTGTTCTCACGTTTAAAAGAAATGTTCAAGTTGAGAGTAAACTCCTACTAAAGACAGTCTTCCCACTTTCCGTTTGTTATTGAGAAGTGGTCTTCTTATACCATAAAATTGTGTACAGATGATCAAGTGGCTGTGACCGTAACTACGAGATCAACCTAAATGAAATGCTTAAGTGGGCAGGGTCAGACCTCAGGTCACATGACTTCCACGGAGCAGAAAAGTAAGTGAGTTATGACATTCTGCACCTTGCCTATTGAGGCACTCTCTGCTCAGAGTCATGGGAAACTTAAGCTAGAGTGAGAACAAAGAGAGCTCAAAGAGAGATCGGTCTCTCCTTTTTCTTTCTTTCTTTTTTTTGTCCTTCAGTGGGAAATAGAGGGTTGAGCCATGTTAGCTGGGCTCCTCATAGTCTCAACTCATTTAGTTAGTGGGAACACGGCCAGTCAGGGGTTGATTTAGAGTAATGGGACGTGGGTAAATAGAATCGTTTGTCATGCTCTAAGTCTACACTAGACTTTACATCAGGAGTGGAAGCTGCTGATGTAACTGAACTATAAGCTGGTCACTCCACAGCAGCGCAGTAAGATCTCAGGAAAGGTGCACTGCTGGCTGTTTGATCAAGCAGTGTGCAGTCGGGCATCAATAAAATTCTAATCCTTCTTGTAGAGGATAAATAACCACGTTTGAAACAACTTGATTAACAAAATATAGTCAATGAAAAAACCTATTGCTAAACAATTCCTTGCTCTACTTTTACTGTAATTTATACAGTCAATGGCCTCTTATATTTTATCAATGTGTGCTTTGTGAGGGATATGACAATTTCTAGCTAAAGATTAATATTTATTGGCTGATTTTCATATGTTTGCATTTTAATACAGATCCCTATTACCATAGTTTTTCCATCTTTATCCAAATATACTGTCATAAACTTGAGCATTTAACATGCTAACTGAGGCCTGTAGAGTCGGAGATGTACCTCAGCATTGCACGCTCTGACCTTGGGCTGAATTTGCTGAGAAGTCCACTTCTGGGAAGAATTAAAATGTTTTCATTTTTTAAAAGTGTACCAGTTCTTCATCTCACTGCTTTAGAACTGTTGGTAGTGAAAACATGATGTACTGTAGCAGATAAATATTGGCCACTCCCACTGATAAATGGCATCTTATTTGGCAATATACTGAAGGCAGTCAACACATCTTTTGTTTTTGCTTGTTTTCTTAGAAAAGGTGACAGACCAGATAGTAACTTAATGACAACATTTCTAATTGACTTGACCATTTGTGTAACCATTTGTTCCTCTGTTGTAAAAAGCTAATTGTTTCTTCTGAATCTGTTGTGAAAATTGCACACTCTGGTAGATCGTGACACACACAGATTGCATCAGTTATTTCCCTTTTAAATACTTTTCTCTTTTAAAATCTACTGAAGAATTACTTTTACATTGGTGTGTGAAATAACATCATCTTCTTCATATTGTTCAGTGGTGTACATAAAGCTTTCTTTCTGTAACGTTAATTATGAATCACTGTAAGCTATAAAAGAGGGCCTTTCACAAGGGGGGGACTGTGTGATGTTGTCAGAGGAGATAAAAGGAGAAGCTCTAAGGCTGCAGCCTCTTTGGGGCCCTGGCTAGTATGTATTCAAGCTCCCTGCCCAACTGGTAATTAGCTACACTCTGTCAGCCCACAGGCCCGTCATCCCAAGTTGGGGAAAGTCCCACCTTATTATTCCTCCAGCTGGCTTTTTTCAGTAAAGGCTCCCGAATGTAACCCAAGCTGCACTGCCTTGATGTACCATACAATGCTGGAGATGATCATCTGACCATAAAGCAGACACGGTCGAGTACGCTTAGACCTGACTTTAATGTTTCTGTTCATGCTGCAGGGTCCACTTACAGCGTCTTGTCCACCATGCCATCGGACTCAGAAAGCAGCAGCTCTCTCAGCAGCTTAGGTGAGTGTGGTACTCATGATGACTAACGATTTAAGGTAAAGATGGGTCCAAAAAATCTTCTTTGGAAAAGGGGGGGGGAGAAAAAAACAGTTGTTCTGAGGAACCAGACGGCTTCTAATTGTTTAGGCTCTAAGCACATGCAAGTGATTACACAGATGTGACAAGGATTTAAAAATACACACACGAGAGAGAGATCTGTTTCTACTCTAGAAGAGAGGATTGGTCTGTGCTGTTGAAGCTGAACCAGTGTTTATCACTACGTTTATTTTTGTGGTATATTCAAAACTGAATGAGTAGATCAATGATGACAGACAATATTTAAGTGACTTTGGCTAAACGATTATATAGATTAAATAAAATAATGGTCAAGCTCTTTACCCATAACATAATCATGAACTTGTATGTTTGTAATTTATTTCTTTAGCCAAGTTTGCAGCTCAGATGAACATAGACTACATTTTTACTGAAATATAGCTATACACTCTAGCTGACATAAATAAAACTGCACTGAACCCCGTCACTCGCATCATTTGAACTTTGCGATCGGCACAAGCCACCAGTGACATGCTGACTCACACAGGTACTCCTGCTCAAGCGTCCTCCCCTCCACCTGCCCACATGGACAGCCACCAAGTGAATGAGAAAATGGAGACCATTCTGTTAGAGTTGAGACAGGTGACGCGTGAAAGGGATGAGCTACGCAAACGTCTCGCCCTCTCTTCACCTGGAACCACCTTTGATGACTGCAGGTAGTGTTTTAGTCTCATTCTACAGCCTGTTTTCCAACACATTTGCAGAAAAGCAGAGCAATCTTGTTTCTACCTGCACTCTTTAGATAGAGGTATTTTGCATTCTTGAGCATTTAAAAGCCCTGCCAAAAAAAGCAAGAGCTATTTGACGTAAACTTGTGCTCGTTTTGTTTTAGAGTTGAGCACAAGATGTGAGGATACAGTTGAACTTTCTCTCTTTCCTTACGCTCCCAAAAGTACAAAGTTTGCATGTTTATCTCACTTATGGCTCTCACATTGTCCCATGTGGCATCTCAGAACTTGGTTTTTGATGCAAGTGTGTTTCCCTGTTTCCTGCTCTGTGAAATAGACCGAATGCAAAAGCAGGTCATGACTATGAGCGTCTGAAGCTGCAGTGTATGAAGGCAATGGCAGACCTGCAATCCCTGCAGAACCAGCATAGCACCACCCTGAAGAGGTGCGAGGAGGCTGTGAAGAAAGCAGACTTCTACCAGTAAGTGGAAAGCCTACTAGGGGACTTTGTAAATTTTTTAACAGCCGGTGCATTTGTGCTGTATGCATTCAAGCTCAGCCTGCAGCATTTTTAGCCAGTATTCTGTTCTTCCTCACATATTCACAGCAGATTGCGTAGAACAGATTTTATTTTTGCAAGAGTGATAGGGATGAAGCCTTTATATCAGTTCAAAATCTCAGTTAAGCTATAAAAATCCCAACAGGTCTTCTTCAATTTGATTTAATCTTTGGGATTGTTTGAGGGCGGGGGGACTATTTGTATTATTTAGTAGCAGGGCAAATCATACATTTCTGGCTAAAGGTTGAGGGAAGAGACTAGAATATGCTCTATAAGTATTATCCTTTTGTAAAGAGTTCACCATAAGCATGCTCTGTAATCAGTATGTGAATCCTGTGTATGCGGCACAGCATCTTTGCCGTGAGGATAATGCTGCGAACGGAGCATTTGGTGTCTAGTGAAATAAGCTGTACTGAGTTGACATGAAGGGAAGGCTAGTCCATTTGTATGATTTTTAATGATGCCATACAGCCTCTGAAGTGTAGGGAACCAACATCTGGCCCCCAATGCAAACAGACAGATGAAGGATTATGTCCGTGTTTAAGCCTGTACTTTTGCGTCCTGTTTGCACATCAGAGAGAGTCTTTATTTATCAATGTCCTCTCTGCCTCTGTACTCAACCATTCACTCTAAGCAGCATGTTTTTTGTCAATGGAAAATCACATTCATGTCTAGCAGTTTTAATATTGTACTTAAATTAGTAAGTCGCTAAACACTTAACCATTAACCCTTAGTAATTCTGAAGAATTTTAATTAGTCCTATTAGTGATTCATGTTTTAGAAAATTTCAAGTTAAAGCTTTATTACATAAGAGGTGCGTTGTTTTTTTTTTTTTTTTTTTTCTCCTTATTAATGTTAATATAGTGACAGGAAGACCACAACAGCCCTGTGGCTTTAAATGAATTAATTAATTGTTTTTAGTGACCGCACGGTGGTGTGATGGTTAGCACTGTTGGTGCTCAGCAAGAAGGTCTTGAGTTTGACTCCACCTCCTGTCTGAAGGGCATGTTCTCCCATGTTTGCATGGGTTCTCTCCGGGTACTCCGGCTTCCTCCCACAGTACAAGAACAGGATTAGGTTAATTAGTGATTCTTAATTGCCTGTAGGTAGAACACAGTAAAACCATCTGTGAAAGTTAACACACAAAAAACAGTTTGTGAATGTGAAATTATGTCAACACGGGGTACTTCGTGTAATTTAATTTTTAGGTAGTTCTGAAATGATTAGTTTGACCACAAACTGCAGCAGTTAATCATTTCCAGTTGCAACAAAAGATTTGTATGCAAACTGTTGTGCTGGCTACTTCAAAACCTGCTTCGAGTTGGGTGTTCCAGTTAAGGAGATAAGACTGACGTGATTGTGCTGGAAAGATGACACCAGAAGAACAATATGTAATGAAATCCTGAAAGAAGAGGGCAAACAACACAAGAGGAAGTGGAAAGCACCCACAGAAATCTCATCAACATGATGTATCAATGGAAGAAGGCCAAAAAGGAGACTAAATTGCTCTTGACTAATAAAATATATTTTTTAAAAAGAATCATAAAAAACAAAAAGATGGTGCTTACGTCTGTGAGAATAATCTGTAGACCAGCAGTAAGGCATGGCAGAAGAAGCGTCATAGTTTGGGACTGATGTTCTGCTTCAGGGCTAATATACCTTGCAATCATTAATTTATGCAGTTTACTTTGAAACTGCACCGAGAAATTGTTCCAGGAGAATGTCAAGGCAGCAGTTTATGACCTGAAGTTTGTAAGAGTTTCGGTGATTCAGCAAAACAATGGCCTAAAGCAAATCAACAACAACAGTAAATCATGTCCCAGTGGCCAAGTTAGAGTCCTGACCACAAATCAGCAGAGCTGCAGTGACGTAACTGGCTACAGCAAACATTTCAGATGTTTTTAAGAAGCTGCTTTTAGCTACTACATTCAAGTATTAACTTACTTTCTTCATCCTACACTGTGGCTAACTGGTGCGATCCAAATGACGTGTGTGTGTGTGTGTGTGTGTGTGTGTGTGTGTGTGTGTGTGTGTGTGTGTGTCCCCAAATATTTTTTGATTTATGATTTACTAGCTGAATATATGTTGCCAGAGACACAGTAGATGGAGATGTATATATTCAGTGCTGTAAATGCTGATTTTAAAAATCGCTGGCAGCACCCATGGTTTGATTGTACCCATTCTGCTATCTCCACAGTACACTGCACAGCCGTCTGGTGAGCGAGCACACCCAGCTGAAAGAGGAGCTCGAGGTGCTGAGACAGGACAACATCCAGCTGGTCAGGGAGCACAACCATGTGAAACAGGCCTGCGAGGAGCTCAGGAGGCTGCATGATGATGATCAGAGGGAAGTAGCTGATATGAAGATGCTACACCAGCAGGTGCCTGTGTAATTTTTCAGTTCTGTCACCATTCATGCTTAAAAATGGGACACAAACAACATACAGACACAAAAATATAAATGGGTATATACTATCTAGACACTTGCAGACACCCCTTTCCATCTCTAGTTGGCCGCTGACATAAAATCAGTTGGATCTTGACATTTGAGATGGACATTAATTTGCTCTTGTCTCGGTGACCATTATGTCCAAAAGGACAATGTTGTTCAGACAAATGGGGTCAGACAAGCTCTGTCCTCTCCATGTCTCCATCCATCAAAACATTCTTTCAGATTACAAAAATGACTTGACCTGAGTCTCTCACCATTACTCAGTCTGACATTCACCGTGACTGCAGTCACAAGACCATATCATTAAATGTTAGCAATGCCTTATATAACCATGGAGAATGTGTATAACAGGGCTAGTTGATAGCAAGGATACGTTCCCCATTGTCTCTAGAAGTCATGTCATCATTGCATAAACTACTGTTCAGCCTCAGTCAAATTAGGAGTCAAATTAGTTTTAAGTGATGCCAGCCCAGAGAAGACATTTATTGTACAGTTGTTAGATTCCAATTACATACTATAATTTTTCATGTCTAAATGTGTCCTGGTTTGTCCGTTTTTGGCACTCTGTTCATGATTTGGATTAGATTCAATAGTAATTTAAACGTTACAAACAAAATATTTGTAAACATGAAGCCAGACTGAGTCCATTGGATCTCATCAGTGCTTAATTAACTAAATTAACTTAATTAACTTACTGGTAGCAAGTCAAAAAGTTTATTCAGCTGATTTGACAGCAATTCTGTCTGTCAGGTCGACTGTACTTATTGTACATTTGAGCGTCTTCATCTTTTAGCTGTGGTTGCTAATTGGTGAAACTGTGGTAACATTAATCACTGTTTCGACCACAGTCTCCTGCGATTGCTTCCTGTACAGTTCCCACAGAACTAGTAAAATTGAATGGCAATACATTTTTAATGGTAGTTAAGCTTATCCATTCATGCTAAAAGCATGTAGTATACCCCAGTTGCTGCTTGCATCAGAAGCAGACTGCCCTATAGGATGTTAAGAAGCTAGACAGAAGCTAGATACAAGTTATCATCTGGTTCACTACAGTTCAAGTGATATTTCAACAGTTTAAAGTAACATTTTGTTTAATCTCCACTGAAACGGGTAATTAAATGATTTAGGCACTTCACTTTAGATTTATATCAAACAGCACAACATTTCAGCATCTACAGAGTTGAAAAGTATTCCGGATAACTTTTTCCAAGTGACTGCATCAGCTCTTATCTTGATATAGTCCCATTATTGCCCTCTAATTCGTTAAATAACCCGACTTAATGCTATTTGCAGGTAATGAGAGAGGGCTCCTCTGATGTCCTTAACAAACTCTACGACACAGCTGTGGACAAGTTGGAGGCCGTGAAGAGTGACTATGAGACTCTGAGGAAGTGCTACAATGACAAGTTGGCCAGTCACAATGCCGATTTGAGTCGTTTGGACCAGGCTGAGGAAGAGAACCACCGGCTGCAGAAGCAACTCGACATGCTGCTGAAACAAAGAGATGCTGCCATCCACTATCAGCAGCAATACTCTTCTTCAATAAGAAGGTAAAGCTGGAATTATTAGGTCTACAAAGCCAGCAGGGCTACAAACTTCACACAAAAACTGAGCAACTGTTAAAAAACTAAAAAGCAGTTGCAGCAAATTATACTACAAACTGAGTACTTGAGTACAGAGCCAAAGTCAGATCTGCACAGTGCTTAAAATGTGCTTAATCAAAGGCAGATGAAGCTTTGCGGATGTCCTCCCATTTATAGTTTTCTTTTTAGATGCTTAAATTCCACATTTGATCAGTCTATGATCTTATTGTTCATGATTTTAATGTTTTAAGCACAAGACAGAGTAGAAATGTTTACCCTTTGGAAATTAATAGAGGCATTGAATCCACTGCATTCCTTAATCCCTGCCTGATGCAGGTTTGACAACACCCACCAAGAACTATCCAAGGCCACAGCCCACAATAAGGAGCTACAGCGAGAGATGGAACGGCTGCAGTCTGAGGTGACGCGGCTCAAGACCCAGCAGCTCAAGGCGGCAAAGGACAGCGAGAAGTACAAGGAGGAGCGGGACTCTGTGATCAGTGAATATCGCTTGATCATGAGTGAGCGGGATCAGGTGATCAAAGAGGTGGACAGGCTCCAGACAGGTCTGGAGATGGCAGAGGCGAAGCTAAAGAGCACTTCGTCAGAGAGACGGGTGGCCAGTGAGGAGCTGGAGGCTCTCCGACAGGTAAAAGCTAAAATGAGGGATCATCAGTGAGAACTGAAAACGGTTAACCATTTCACAGACGGGATCAGAAAGCACTGGAGGAATAACTATTGTGAATTGGAATTATACATGCACTATAAAGAAATTAATTTCTTCAGATTTACAGGGCTCCTTTTAATTTAAGTGAAACTGTTAATGAAGAATGACCATTTGCGTAACATCTGTGTCTTAAATATCTCTTGTCATTAAACTGCTGAAGTCATTCTTTTTGGCAACAGTCAAAGGTTTAGGGTGGCTAAAAAGTAACCACGTCATGATCACTGCTATTAAAACCCACAGTTCAGGAAGAGAAATTTGGTTATGCTTTTTAACTCTTCTGTGTAAAATGAACTTGAGAAGCTCTCCAAAATAAATACATAAAAAATCCTTTTAAGAGGAGCAAAATTCTTTAGTTCTTCATCTAATAGGAAGTATTTCTGGCAGCATATCTTTGTGCTGAGATAAGAATGTATTCCTCCCCAAGGAGGGAATTCCAGAATCACAGCGATGTAAGAAACACGTCGGCATAAAAGGAATTGTACAACAATATGCAAATCATATTAAAATATTCCAAAATTCTCAAGGTAAAAAATTTAAAAAGATATAGAAATTTACTTTTTTCTTTATTATTATTATTATTATTATTATTATTATTTTTTGATGAAGGAGCTGGCCTCAGCGCTGGTGGACAGGGACCGAGCAATCTGTGAAAAGAATGAGCTGCTGGAGAAATTCTGTCATGAGGTCAAGGACAAAGCTGAGGCCCAAAAGGAGCTGAACCAGGCCTGCAAAGACATCGAAACAGTGCGTGAGGAAAGAGATGTGGCCCGGAAGGAGAGGACAGAGGCCATCATCCAGAGGGACCAGCTGTTGCAAGAGTATTACCAGGCCAGACAGGTAGCCAGACGGACAGATGATTTATCATCACAAATGGAGGGATTGGTTTATTTCTCTGACAGTAATCCCTTCATCCCATCTCACATAGTAGTAGTTTTTTATTTTATTTTATTTTTTCTTCAATCGGCTGGCTGGTTTCTACATATTGATTTCTGTTGAGAAATGTGTACTCACCCATCATTCTGTTTGCAGTGATTGTCAGATTAATTATAAAAGTCAGGGATGCCTACATTAGGAAATTACCAATAATTGTAGTGACAGGCCTCACCCTCACTTCCAAGTACACCAGAAATCTGCACTGCGTCAGAAATGGATTGTTAAGCAAAACTGTAGACTGAAATGGAATTAATGCAACAGTGTATCTAGTGCAAGCGCTCTAGATACACCATCAGACTGAGTTTTACATTTGTTTTATTATATCTGGTTTATATACCTAATCCAGTCTATGGCTGTTTTATACATCATAGATGGAAACTACATCTTAGTTTACAGAAATTTGTTTTTGGATGGATGGAGTCAGCTAAGTTGAAAGTTTTGTTTCTTAAAAAAAGCAACAAAATGTCTTCATAGCTTGTAATTAATACCTTGTATTTAAAAAAACCAAAAAAAAAACCAAAAAAAACCAACAAAGCACTTTATTTAGTCTATTGATTAGTGTACAAGCAGAAAAAATAAATGATCTATTCAAACAAACCTTTCTCACAGCAGCCATTCTGGCTGCTGCTAGAGGTAAACACAGGTGATACTAATCACATTAAAGCTTCACCTCAATAGAGGACAAGATTCATTATTCTAATTTGTAACATCTGTGTTTGTGCCATGTCAAGTCAAAATGACTGCTGTCAAACGGGTATTTGCATCAATGAGCTTTCAAGCTTAACTCGCACCAAAATTATGTAAATCTGATAATTAAAAACATGTGAGTATAATATTACTGCAAAGTTAGTGTACAGAGTGGGTGAAAGATGAAAATACTTTCTTATGACACACATTTAGAGGAATTTGCCACATGTTATCAAATACCATATTGGACTAAAAGCACCTTCACTTCTCCGGTGACATTTATCACCCATCAATTTGATCTACTCCTGCAGGAACAGGACTCTGCCACCATGAACATGGAACGAGCCACCAAGGAGATCGAGATGCTGAGGAAGCAGTATGAGGCCATCTCGCAGGAGCTGAAGGAGGCCTTGCAGGAGGCTGAGGTCGCCAAGTGTCGGCGGGACTGGGCCTTCCAGGAGAGGGACAAGATTGTAGCAGAAAGAGAGAGCATTCGGTAAGAATTTTTTTTTTTTAAAAAAATATAGATGTAGATGCATGTCATTGCGAGGAGGCTTGGGCAAAAATAGTTTGCGTGTATTTTATGTGACACCTGATGACAATATGTGCATCACTCAGTACACTGTGTGACAACCTGAGACGAGAAAGGGATAGAGCTGTGAGTGATCTGGCAGACGCTCTGAGGAATCTGGATGACATGAGAAAGCAGAAGAACGATGCGACGCGGGAACTCAAAGAACTAAAGTGCGTTATTTCTCCCAAAAGTTGTTTTTGAGACAGATAAATGTCTTGTGTTCTATTTTAGGTAAACTTGAATATTATTCATTGATTTATATTTGTGTTAAAAGTGCTTCTCTTCCTTAATGATCTTTTGTGCCACCCAGTGGATGAATTTTATTTACACAGGACAGTTCAAATTACTTTGAAATACTTACTGAAGAGCTACATATTTCATGTTTCCTGCAGAGAAAAGTTGGAAGATGAGCTGGAAAAGGAAGCAAGATATCGTCAGCTGATGGCCCACAGTTCACATGATTCAGCCATAGACACTGACTCAATGGAGTGGGAGACAGAAGTTGTAGAATTTGAGAAGCACAGAGTAAGGATCATTTAGAGTTTTCTTTTTTGTTTTTTAAGAAATGTGATTTGCCTTTAGAGAATTGCACTTAATGAATGAACTAATTCAGAATCAAAAAATCATAATATTCCTCGTGATTTTTCATTTTTGCAGGACATGGATTTGAAAGCACTTGGATTTGATATTGCTGAAGGGGTAAATGATCCCTATTTACCAGGGGACTGTGGTGTATTTGTAACTAAGGTGGATAAAGGAAGTATTGCTGAGGGAAGATTAAGGTAACTGTCACTTTCCTCCTCAGTGTATATAAATGTTTTGATTTCCCTTTGTCATTTGACACCTGAGTTTTGGTTCTAATAATAAGCTTTATTTGGAGAATAGAAACACATTTTCATATTTTCACTTGTAAAATTTAGTATGCAGCACTCAGAAAATCAGATTTTTGATACATGTCAATTTACACAACACATCATAGTTGGCTTCTCTTTCATTATTATTATATTCTCTCTTATTTCTGTTCAGGGTAAATGACTGGTTGCTTAAAATAAATGACGTGGACCTGACCAATAAAGACAGGAAGCAGGTGATCAAAGCTGTGTTGAGTGGTGAGGGCATGATTAATATGGTGGTTCGTAGAAGAAAGTCACTAGGAGGACGGATCATCACTCCAATCCAGATAAACTTAGCTGGACACAAAGGTCAGCTTCAATTTCCAAATAAGTAATAAACTTCACCGTTATAATGTCTGCCTGACAAGCTAGTAATGACATTAAAGTGCAAAGTATTTGCGTTTAATTATCTGTATATGTGATGGTAATTGGGGTGTGTTTTTTCTAATTGTTTTTCCTCATAGACAGTGGACTAGGTTTGGAAAGTGGAGTGTTTGTTGCCACATTGGCTGCTGGCAGCCCAGCTGCTAAAGACTGCAATCTCACTGTTGGTGACAGACTGTTAGCTGTAAGTATGATCACTGAAAAGTTTATCATTTGTTTGATAAAAGCCTGTTTGTTATCAAGAGATGGCTGTGGTCTCTAGTGCCCTCTACTGACCACATTCAAGTTGTTTTAAGACAAGCACAACTGCAGCATGTTCCAACTACTTGCCTTCAAAGTACAGTGTTGAAACAGAGGAAATTTGTTGTGTATATGTATACATTTCATAACTTCAATGAACATGAAGTAATGCAGCCAGTTTCACTGTTATATAGAGAGGATATAATGGAGACTGTGGGCTTCCAGTGAGGCTGACCTCCGAGATGAAGTAAAATCTGACATTACTAAAAATTCACTGGAGGTACCAAAATATCAGCTACAATACAAAGATGCTCACAGTACACTGCTGCACACTATTAACATAGTTTTGTAATTTTCATATGTCAGATAATATAAAATCTGTCAGTTAAACTAGGATTAAATGTTAGTGAAAGTAAGCTAGCACATTCCCAAACTTGCCCTTGTCACACAAACCATACATACAGGCCATAACACAATTATATAGTCTACTTATCTTTTGATTTCAGCACTCTTATGTTGGATAAAAATAAAAAATAAAGTCATGACTGGGAATCATTTTTGGCTTGACTATATTTAAGTTTTAGACCACCATATATGTTACACTTTATTGGTCTGGAATATGCCGGTTATTCCAAACGGCTTCCATTATGATCTGAATCTGTCTTTTATATTGTAATTTGTCCTTATGCTATAATTTTATCCCTGGCAGCTTTAACACTGCCCAGGACCCAAAATTCATTAATAGACCATCATTTGCTGATAGTCTTACATCATGCACTCTATCATAGCTGGCTGCTTTGATATCAGTATCAGTAACTGTACTGAATATGCATCTAAGCTTCGTTTTTGGGAGGTCTCACAATCCTACTTAAGTCGTGAATTGTCTTGATGTCCTACCTACATGTTTGAGACAGGGAATTCAGTATGATCTCACTTTATTATTAAAAAAGGCTGGCATTATTTACAGGAATCTGATATTTTAAAAAATAAAGTACCTCCATAATCCTAATCAAGGAATTTTTGGGACTTGATTACTTTTAAGGGCAGGTGGCCACTATTTTTTGTACCCAAGTACACATCAGCCATCATTTTAATGGTTAATGTTGTGTAATGAGGATGTGCACACCTCAGATACCGGTAATCTAAATTCTAACCATAACTAGCACATTTGCAGACGCCATTTCAAGATGGAGTACGATGATGATGATGTCTAGGTAAGTAGGCTCTTATTTATGGGACTTTTTTTTTTTTCCTCTTTTCCCTCAGATCAATGGAATTGCGCTCGATAACAAGTCGCTCTCTGAATGCGAGTCTCTGCTGAGAAACTGCCGAAATTCTCTCAGCCTCTCCCTCATGAAGGTAAAAACTCAGTAACCCAAACACATACAGATTCTCACAACTGTAAAATCACATACTGCTGTTTCTTCTAATAGACTCCCAATAGTCAGGCTTTATGCTAGCTGTACAATGCTTACTTCGTGCAAATGCTCATTGGGTTAATAGACAATGCAAAGTCTTCTTAAACCTTAATTGCTACCAGTATCTTTAATTTTTAAATGCTATCTCAAGTTTGTGGTTAAAAATGTCAGCGATCGTCCATTTCATCGGAAGCTATTTATTGCATTTAAACTATTTTAATGTATATTTATCAACATTTCTTCCTGCACAGTTCTTTCCCCAAAGCTGTTCTGGGCAGAGTTTATATGAAACTTTGAGAGACTCTGAAAAGAACCCGCGACTCCAGTCCTGTGAGGGCCACACGAGAAACTGCAGAAACTCTAAGCACAATTGCTCCACACAAACTGACATTTGTAGCTGTGACTTTGGCAGCAGAGGGGAGGAAGCCTGCAAGGATACCGGTGACTCCCTGAATAGCAGCAGTGGCAGCACTCACTCCCACCACAAACCCTTTTCCAATGGTTCCCCGCATTCCCGTTCCTTTTCTGCCTCACATAGTCCTTCGGAACCCCACCCAGAATTCTGCTACCGGAGGCAGGACCTCCAGCATCGGCCTTTTACCTTCACCCCTCTTCTGTCCGACTGCAGCTCACCACAGGCTGCTGTGGACCGAGTGCAGAGCTCGCCAGTCAAGCCCAGTGGAGGCACATGGCCTAAAGTCATAGTGGGAACTGTTTCAGAGTACACCCAACTGTCCATCTATAAGAAGCCCAAACAGAGGAAGTCTATTTTTGACATGAATGCTTTCAGGAGACCTGATGCAGCCCAAAAACTGGACTACATGTCCCTGTCTCACTCACCGCAGAGCTCAGTGTCTGAATCTGCTCAGACACCCCCCACCCCACCAGCAAGGAGCGACTCGTTTAGGTTCAAGCATCGGCAGCAGAACAGCTCCGCGTCGGACTCCACCATTACCACCGGCACACCACCAGCATCCCCTGCCCAAGCTACGAATCCTAAGGACAAGGGAGAGGTGGGAAACCAATGCTATTTCAATGATGGCCCTCCAGGAGAGGCCAAGGGCAGCTTCAAGAAACCTGCTGAGGAGGAAGAAGAGGAGGAGAACCGGTACAGGACAGAAGTGCAAGGAAAAAAGAGATACCGGCCAAAATCAGCACCAGCACTACGTCGAAATGTGACTCCATTGCACATTCCTGTTCCTATTCAGGTAACTGAGTATTTAAAGAACATGTTGAGGAATTTACTATTTGACATTTTTATAGATGCTATGGTTTGTGTTATTTTGTGTCCCTTATTTCCTCAAAAATTAAAAGGCTTACAAGCTGTACGTTTGCTCCTTGCAGGTACAGAGTTTCTCTAACGATGAACACTCCCCAGAGCCAGTGGACTTGTTACGTTTCTCTCCTATACGAACCAATCGGTACAGCGTACAATATGCACCCAAAAGCTACAGTAGCATTGCATCACGTAAGTTATGGGAACAGCTTAATGTGTTCATTTTTTTCCATTTTTTTTTTTTCACATTTCCAAACACTGCATGGATCACTAATAATAAAAATAGAAAGTTGATTTCGATTTGTTGGGGTTTTTTCTATTGAACTAATAAAGGCTTGATATTTATAGGATGGAAGTGTCACATAACTACTACTTGTTGATGTCTAATCCCACTATTTGTCCTCCAGACCCTGCACAACGAAGTTTTGCCCCTTGCCCTGCTGTGACGGCTGTCATGAGGAACCCTGTCTACACAGCCTGGAGCCATGAGGTCCAGGCCAACAACCCTCCTCCAGCTCCCAGCTCGAGCAGTCATCCTCATACACACACAAGGTGTTCTGTCAGTCCAACTCTTCTTCACGAGCCTTTTTACTGTTGTGAATCCTAAAAATAAATCTTGTCATTTTGCCATGTGAATATATGAATTAATGAGTATACTTATTTTGCATATAGTGTCAAGTAAAATTTTCTGTTTCAATCACACCTCATTCACTGCAGACATTTAATAGGAAGAAGGTAGCTGAGTCGACTAAACCACTACAATTTGTCGGTGAAACAGAACTCTCAATTCCAGGTCTTTGACTTGACTTAATAGAGTTCACCCATGATTAATTGAATTATTCGACAGGTAGAGTATCTTCAGTGCTGTTTTTGTCTGTTAGACAGATAATGCAGCAACTAGTCAAATACAACTTGGTGGAAATGTGGAGCAGGGACAAAGAAAGCCACCAGATTTTGGGACAGAACCAGGTCACGTCGTTAAGAAATTCTGAGCTAGGTCATCGGCCTCGTTGGAGAAAAGTGTTCTCCAAATGCTTTTTAAGTTTACTTTTTTCCTTGTTACGACATCTTGAAATATCTATCTGTTAGAAAACTGATATTTTATCTCAACTGTTAGACTGTCTCTTTTGAAGCAGAGAGAGAGATTAATTAATAATTCTGTATTCTTTTTTTGCTGTGATTGTATTCTGCATACTTCTGGTTTTTTGGTGCATTAGTTAGAAATATAAGACAATTTCAGATGTTGTTTTTTTTTATATATATATATATAGATTTAACAGTTTATTTTGATGCTTACTGCAAAGTAGACATTAGTTCTAGTAGTACTGTTTTTCATTTTAACCACAGATTTGCTAAATCCTGAATGGTGTATTTATAGCAGCGAAACAACTGTGTATCCTGCCCCAGATCTCATGGACAGATGGCATGTAGCAAATTATATCTTGCCCTGGGTTGAATAATTGACTGCCGGGGGACTTACGCAGGTCTTTTCTTTTTCCTCCCCCCCCTCTACTCTAGCCCCCAGCATCAAGGTCGCCTCAGTCTGGACCTCAGCCACAAGCGCACTGGAAACCCGACTGAGCGGAGCTGCAGCCAACCACCACACAGTACTAACTCCTTGCCCTGCAGCAACAGAATGAGTATGTATGGTGCCCTAGTTTTATGATAATCACGACATGTTTAAAATGTGAATAATGTTGTTTACATTTTTCTTAATTCAGTCCGCACTTATTTAGCCCACTATTTATCACTGCTAGCAAAACGCCTAACTGGCGTCGAGTTGCATTGTTAGCAAACACTGACTTCTGTGACACAAAATTATTTAACTTTAATTTTACTCTTAAACTCATTATATTTATGCAATGTCAGTTTTAAATGCAACTCTCCTGTAATGAGTTAGAAAGTCTTGTAGCAGTTTAATTGGCTCAGGAGACGATGGTGATTAACTGGCTACTTCAAACATTTGCTCTGTGGTAAATATTTAGATTAGCAGTGTCGGGGAAAGGGGCTTATCACAGTTGTTCATATATTTCCTGGGGAATTCCCATATCAACATGGTTGGATACCCTCAGTTGTGTGAGAAAATGTTTCTTGTTTTCTTTTTTTTTCCATTATGGGTCAACTGACCCTTTTAATAAATTTCCTGTTTTTTTCTTAGGCACCTCTGGTACTCAATTTAGAGCAGAACGGATTAAGATCCCTCCAATTCGTTATCCTCGCGCCACTGGATCTGACAAAGGTACTGTTCAGTCTGGGAGCAACATCTACTGGTACCAAATGTTACTTCAATTTTTTAATATCTTCTGTCACTCCAGGCTCGCTTACACATTCGGAGGGTAGCAGCCCAACACCTCCAATGTCCCCTGTCAACCTGGACACATCGTCTTTCACTAGCAGCCAATCGCAGAGCTCCATTTCCACCCAACCTAGGATATCAGTCAGCCCTGCTTCAATTGGTGACAGGCGAAAGGAAGGGTAGGCCAACCGAATCCTCGTCATTGTCCGAATCTTTATCCCACCATGATTCAGCACCACAAGACATGTTTTCCACCATTTGTCTGTACTTTTTGTCTGGTTCATTGTGATTAAATGCTTGCAAAGCAGTAAACAAAGCCTCAAGCCTCCATCCAACACTGTCACCACAATCGATCATTTTATTATCTTCACTTTCTTCTCTGCTGCTGAGCCTTGTAACTTGAAATCTTTCTGTCTTTGTCTGTTTTTATTTTTTCCCTGTCATTCTGCTTCTCAGATTTGTCTCTTACTGCACTTCCTCTGTTAGACCTCCACTTGGAATTAAGCCCAAGTTCTTCTCTTTAAGAAGCTTGAGGTTTGTCTTGTGCTGGTAGCACATACAGTATAAGCACTGTCTGCAGGACTGTTGGAGCACAGATCTTATCATTCTGCCTACACTCTGCATATATAAATGTTACAGTCTAGACTCACTTTGCAGCAGCGGTGCTAGATTCTTTTGAATGTTTAATAATGGCAGTAATGAAATGGATGTGTATCCTTAGGTCGTCATCTTCTCTGCTCATTATTTATTCAGAATGCTGTTAAATGTTGTATGATTGCATGACATGAAGTGGGATTTGAAAATGCACGCTTGCCACATCAGCCACAACATTAAAACCTTGTTCTTGGTACAGTGTGCTACAAAAACAGCTTGGACCATTAGGTGCACAAACATAAGACCTTTGGGCGTGTCTGGTATTGTCAGACATGAGGCTACAGGCTCAAGCATCAGATGCTTGATCAGATTGGGATTTTGAGAGGTTGGAGGCCCTGACATTGTCCAGTTGGGGACTGTCATTGCCTTCATATGGTGCTGCTGTTTTTGTGGGTGGTATCAGCCACATACCAGGATTGTGATTACTGTTATTTACTTTACCTGCAAGGGGTTTTTAATGTTGTGGCTGGTACGTGCATATTATTGTTTGAACAATACACATTTGTGTGAAAAATGTCACATGATTCGGTGATTATTTGCATACATGACATGCATGATAGCATGCAGACTCATATTGTGTAGGAAAACATTAGATTGAAGGGAAGAGCTTATTCTAATTTTTTTATTTTTATTTTTTTATTTATTTATTTATTTTTTTCCCTTCCCCAAAGTTGCATGCTTGCAACTTTTCTATAAGATGTCAAAACACATAAATGTTCGTTTTTTTTTTTTTTTTTTTTTTTTTTCTCCTGAAGGCCGTACCTGGGGGAGCCACGAAATGTGACGGTACAGAAGGGAGCAGAACCACTTGGTATCTCCATTGTGAGTGGAGAGAATGGCGGAGTGTTTGTGTCCAAAGTGACAGCAGGTAGCATTGCTCATCAAGCTCGATTAGAGTACGGAGATCAACTTCTTGAGGTACATTAGCTACTTTACTGCATATCCATGATTTATCTTTTTTTTTTTTTTTTTTTTTTTTTTTCTGCCTCTAATGAATCCCTTCTGTTTCCAGTTTAATGGAATCAACCTTCGCAATGCCAATGAGCAGCAGGCACGGCTGGTGATCGGGCAGCAATGTGACACGGTCACCATTTTGGCTCAGTATAATCCACACATGTTTCAGCTGGGGATTCACTCTCGTTCAGGGTAAGAGGGAGACGAGAGCTTAGCAGTGCCCTTTTCTGTATAAAGCACAGTATGTGCAAAGCAAACGCATGAGTACACAATCGTAAAGACTTCATACTGTAGCACAGGAATAAGAAATGGGTTATGTAATTATGATTAACAAATATTAACACTAAAAAGGAGATGGCACGAATGTGCTATAACAGTAAACAAACCCTAAAGTGTATTCTCTAAAAAAACAGTTATTTGGACTTTAGGGTAAAATATTAAATGATTAGAAAAGATTCTGACTTTGTTTCTCATCTTTTTAGTTCTCGGATGGAATCCATCAGCAACCAGCCGTCACCCCATGACAGCGGAGCCACCACACCGGACAATCACTCCACTGTAGATTTACTGAGTGAGCAGGATGAAGGCACGATTACTCCTGCATCCAAACAAACGACTCCTGCCACTAGTCCACACATCTCCTCCAGGTAGTAGCTTTATATCTGCTTTTATGTTCGCTGGGTTGATATGGTGTTTTAATACAGCCCTTTAAAATAGACTTTGAATCTACTGGTCGAACTTCTTAAAATGTATTTTTCTTTCAGGCTTCCTGGTTCAAATCCACGCAGGGTTCCAGAGTATCGGTTGGTGAGGCTGAAGAGGATCCACGTGGAGCTGGGAGTTCAGATCTGTGGAGGGAACCTTTATGGCATCTTTGTGGAGAGTTTAGATGATGACAGCCCTGCTAGGGGTCCTGATGGTTTACTGCCTGGAGATTTGATGCTGGAGGTATCTTTCATATTTGTCAATAACTGTGACGCACCAAAGTTGTCATGTGTTCAATAAAAAGTAAGTTGCAGTAGCTGTAGTGAAAACAATACTGGACATAATTGTGTGATTTGTGTACCTGTATTATAATGCTCTGAGGCTAGAAGAAAAGCACATTAAAGCAGGTTTAGACATAGAATCTGACTGCTTTCTGTCTTATAGATGATTGTCTTTATAGTTTTAATTTATTTATTTATTTTTTAAACAGTACAATGGTGTCAGCATGAAGAACAAAACTAAAGAAGATGCTTACCTGGAATTGTTGAAACCAGCTGAAACGATCACCTTCAAGGTCCAGAACTATGCAGACAACCTTGATGCAGTAAGAGAGAGTACCGGAGATGGATTTTTCATAAGGTACCCTGAATATTTATCAGGCCACTGAAATTAAACTGCTGAGATGACATGAATATTGTGCCTCTTAATTTCATGTTAAACAAAATCCAAAATGGAACCTAACCACCGGGAAATGGGCAGTAAAGTTTGGGAACATTGAGCTAACAGAACAGACATGTTTTGGTGATTTGAGTGTCAGGTCAATAACTCGTTGAAGCTTGTAGAGTATAGCTTGTAAGACTTGTTTTTCCATTATAGTCTGCAAAGTTTTGTTTATCATGCCATTGACATCTTCCCCAACTACTTTATTCATATTTGGCAGAGCACTTTATGAGAGAGTGGCAGAAATGGAGCAGGAGCTAAGCTTTAAGAAAGATGACATCCTTTATGTTGAAGACACACTACCAAATGGTAATTTTGGCTTCTGGATGGCCTGGCAGCTTGATGAGAGTGCACAGAAACTAGAGAAAGGACAGATTCCAAGTAAATACATGTAAGTACAGTGTAAGAATTTGTGGTTTTCTGATTTAGAAAATCTGTTGAGAAATTCTACATTCATCAAACTTTAATGTTAAAGAACATTAGTTTGATAGCATGTTGATATGGATTGAAATATTATCTCCATAAGGATGGACCAGGAATTCTACAGAAGGCACAGCATGGCTGATATGAAGGATGAAAACGGCACTAGCAGGACGCTGTCTGCTGCTGCTCGGAGGTCATTCTTTCGCCGGAGGCTAAAGCACAAACGGAGTGGATCCAAGGATGGAAAGGACATGACGGCTTTGGACGCCATTAGCACAGATTCTTTACCCATCACAGAGGGTGAGAAACTCTCTTCTAAACACAACTTTATTTAAAAATGCACAAAAAAAGACATAATTGTATAAGAAAGGTTGATTCTGGAATAAGCACATATTTGGATTTTCTTGAGCACTTACTTCACCAGCATTGCATTATACTGTCGTCACATTGTTAAACTTACAAAGGACTGTTTGAAATCAAAAAGTTCACAGTGAATACAGCAGAATCTGATTATTGTATTTCACACACTCCTTCACAAGAGTTGGACGTAAAATTACCCACAAATCTGTTCAACCACAGGCAGATTTGTCAGAGGTTTGAATGTGGAGCACGCTGCAGAGGCTTGCTCACTTTCTAAGCATCCAAGATTTAATTTACTGGATATAGTCTTGACTTCAGTCAATTTATCAGACTTCACACAGCTGCATCTGGAGGTGCAACAAACATAATTACATTTCATCACAGACACCACAGTTTTACCAAATAAATTTTAGTCTTTGGTGTTTAAAATAGTTACCTTTAAGTGTTTAAAGAAAAGTTCATACATTTATTTTTTTTTAATGAAAACCTTTTCCCAATTAAGCCTAATCTCTAAGACTTAATAATGCTCTCAAGTTTGAAAAGTTCAGATTTTATTCTTTAGGCTTGATACTAGATAGAAACTGCTACTTTCAATGTCCCTATTAACCTTACGTGATGATTTGTGAGGCAGATCTCAGGCATGAAGATGTGTTTATATAGCTGGATTTTTCTTGAAAGAAACTGAAGCTTTCACATAACACAGAAACCACGGTTAAAATGAGCAGCAGTGTCTCTCTCCTGTTATGCCTTTGGAATAAATTGCTTTGGTTTATTCCCTGCACAGACGGCGTGAGCCTCATGTACCAGCGGGTTCAGAAGGTGGAGTACTCTTCGCCTCGTCCAGTGCTGATCTTGGGTCCATTAGTGGAGGCCTGTAAGGACATGTTGGAGAAGGAGGCTCCTACCAAGTTCTGTCGCTGTTTGCCTGGTGAGCTTCTGATTTGTGTGAATTTATACATGAAGGATGTGTGTGTCCATCAGACTTGTGTTATTGCGCAAGGGAGATTTCACTGAGAGCTACCTAACATGAAACTCAAAGATCAGAGAACTTGACGTGTATATTAAAATAAAAAATGTTGCTTTTTTTTCTTTACTTTTAGAAATTATGAAGGCATCTCAGCAGGCAATAGAGCGTGGAGTAAAGGATTGTGTGTTCATTGATTACAAACGGAGGAGTGGGCATTTTGACGTGACAACAGTCGCCTCAATAAAAGAAATCACAGAAAAGGTAAATTTAAAATAACCTTAATCTGCACTATTTATTGATTTGCTTGTCCAGAAATGACACATTTATGACCCTGCACCAATAGCAGTTGTATCTTGAAGTTTATGCACTGCTGTCTTTCCAACTTTTCTTACAATCTTCAGAGGACTTTCAGCTGAATTCCAAATAATGCAATACAGCCAAACTTCCAAACTGATTAAAATAACTTGATTGGCTACATATTTTCAAAGAACCTTTATTTTTTTTATGTTGACATTTATGTTGTTGTTGATATCCCATAAACTGTTAGAAGTCTTTAAACACACAGAGTGTGAAAATAAATATTTTCTGCAGTTTTTTTTTTTTTTTTTTTTTAAACATCTCCCATTTCTCATGTTGTCTTCTCTCATAGGACTGTCACTGCTTACTTGACATTGCCCCTCACGCCATTGAACGTCTTCACATGGTTCACATCTACCCAATCATCATATTCATCCGCTACAAAAATGCCAAGCAGATAAAGTGAGTAATTTCATGCCTGCTTTGACTTTTAAAATATTTTTTTTATTTCTACCTGTCAGACATGTTGAGCATGCTTTGTGTTGTGGTACCAGTTTTGTTTACCCAGTTATTTGTCAAGCTCCAAACCTTGAACAACATACAGAGAGAACTCATCCAAAGCTTTTGCCTCTGGAGGCTGTTTCTGAGAAGAAAGGGGAAAATGTGGGCCATAGCATTTTCAAATAAAGCCACATTCATGAACAAAACTCATCCGTATATTCTGAACTAAAGTAATAATCTGTTTCTATTTTGCAAATAACTACTTGGGCATTAAATCAATATGTAATCTAAAAATGTCAGGTCATAAAGAATTATTTAAAGATTACTTAAAGTTCCCCCATTTTAAAGCCATTCTCGCTTGAAGGACTGATTATTCCTGATTATGCTTAATTTTATCTGGCTTGAGACAGTTGCTTGGGAAATTGGCATCCGCAGAAGTCTTGCTGGTTTTATAATCACATTTGCCCTCCATCCATAACAAAACGAATTGATCAACCAAAATTTGATCAGCATCATTAGTTGCGAAGACACGACGTGCTCTCTTCCACCACCTGTTTTCATCGACTGATGGTGATGGCTCACAGATCCTCTGCTTTTTCATTTGTAATCCGTGGGAAGATTAAATCTGCTGAACCTTCGGCATGGTGCTTCATGCACATGCGCACACAAACGCATGCAAATCAGGGCAAACTCGGGTCGGGCAGGAACAGGCTTTTTCCACCACGCACGTACACACACGCGTCCATAAATCTATGAAACGGTGCAGCAGGCAAACATGGTTCAGATTGATTCCTGCTAAGCCTTCGCTGTCATCAGCTGAGTGCCAGCTGTCCTGGGAGGGGCTCACGAGGCCTGTGGCTCTGCTTCGTGGTGTGGGTGGCTAAAAACACACGATGCCCTGCCGGCCTCAGCTTCCATGTACACAAAAACACACCTCCCACTGCCTGCTGCAGCAACTGACAGGAGCCCAAGGTTTTTCATGGGTTTCTATCCTCTGAGAAGCATCAGCAGACCAAAATGTTGACTGTATAATGAGTGAAAGGAGAGAGACAGTGGTATTCTAGGTTAAGTCAGAGGTAAAAGATGAAGACTGGTAAACAGATGAATTCTCAAGGCTTTGTGTGGTCATGGGTACTGAGTGGGATGGATGGGTTTAAAGTAGGGAGATTTCACTGAAGCTAAGCTGTTAGATTTCTTGGCAGAAATGAGAAGTTTTGCTGTAAAAACTAGTAGATATCTCCTTTAAATTGCATCTATAGTTACTTTAGTCAACATCTGAGTATTTTTTTTATTTTATTTCGATAAAATGCTAATAAGGGTAGTTGATCCTTGTTAACTTTGCTGATTTATCCAAAAAGACTTTCTTGTCTATTACTGCCAGTAGAATTTCCAGGAAAATGGTTTTCATTTAAGTTAATGTTGGCAGTAGCAGCCCAGAAACATGAATAATTTATATGCAGTTGAAGTGGGATAAATGTATTCACATTTTTGTATAAAAGAAATTCACTCTAAATTTGTATTTAGCAATGTTCAAGATGTATTAAAATATCCACACACTATTATTACTGTTTATAAACATGTCTGCAGATTTTTAGTAATACAAAATATGGAAATTGTGACTGTTTTGTTGACATCAAGAATCTGACACTTTGAGTGTTTGAAATGAGGTTTTGTAGCAGGCTGACAGGGCTGATGTTTCCTCAGAGAGCAGAAGGACCCTTTGTACCTGCGGGATAAACTGTCTCAGAAACATTCCAGGGAGCAGTTTGAGGCAGCGCAGAAAATAGAGCAGGACTACAGCCGCTTCTTCACAGGTTGGTGGGATAGGCTTATGTTCACTCGATGTTAATTTGTATACAGGCATTATAATTCTAATTATTGTAACCTTAACCACACCTACAGTACACAGAAATGTGTAACTGCAAACTGAATCCCAGTTTACAAAGAAAGGTGTATTTTTGTAACCATTTTTTCACCTCGGGCTTAAAAGTCAGTTCATCAATAATCAGACACAAACTGTTTAATGGCATTTATCGCTGTATGTCCAAAATTTTTGGTGATAGTCTCTGAGATTTGTTTTTAACTGTATTTATTTCATGTTATTTAGAGTTTAGTCTTAAAGAGGAGGTATTGGGAGCACTGTATGTGTGTTCTTTAAGAAGAGTTAAAGTTCTGGTAACTGGAGCAGCAGACAGTCTGACACCCAACTGTCTGCCTGATTAATGACTAGAAAAGGAGGCGACTTATACACAAGGGCTTTTGCAATGAACACATACCACAACTGATCCCATCTATTAGGGAGAGTTGGCCGGCCAACTTCTGCACACATGCCACGATTGTGATTATATTTATCAGCACTTTCATTAAAAGTATCTGTTGATAGACAGCTTATACCAGTTTGTCTTCACAGTTTACAACTGTAAGTCTTTTATTTCCACAGTCCTGTTGGTTGGTGTCAACATTAGTCTCATTACATGCTTGATATAATTGAAAATGAGTAGTGCTTGGATTATGCAAAAATAAGAAAAAATCACATTGGTCTGGGAGCTGAGTGACTGAATGGGGGAAAAAATGAAAGAACTTTCAATGGGATGTGTTAACCACAAAAATACCACCCTCCTCCCAACTGTATTGCAGGTATTGTCCAGGGAGGCAGCGTCTCCTACATTTGCACTCAGATCATGACCATCGTGGAGCAGGAACAGAGTAAAGTACTGTGGATTCCAGATGGAGCCCTGTAAAAGTATCTCCCCTTGTTCATGTCAACCAGAAACATTCCAGGATGTAGCGAAGATGTTCAAATCCAGCAGTTCACAGCCGACTCGATGGTTAACATCCAATACTTCTCACTTACAGCAATATCAGCACACATGATTTGCAATATTCCTACTACAGTAATTATGTAGTACAGAGACTTGTTTACACTAGTCTTCAATACTTGAATTGTGTATTCCCTCATATTCAGTAGCACTCCTTTAATCCCTTGAATTGTCAGACCACAGGGACTCTGCATCAACTCCAAACTGAAGATGGACCACTGTGTTCCCTCCTTGATATTTATGTCTTCTCTTGCCATTTAATTTATCTAATCAAGTCAAAGATGTTGGTTATGATCCTTTGTTATACAACTGTAGCTCTCTAGTGAATAATGTTCTTATTTATAGAGGAGAAATTGCTTCCTTCACATTATGTCAGTCTTTATTTGGATCATTTCACTCCTCTCATATAATATTGTGCCAAGCTAAATATATTTAATACACCACACTTATTAACACTGCAATTTTCCTTGTAAATCACGCAGCAGGTTTGCTAGTTTCTGCCAATATTCTTTGTCAGGTGGATTTTTATTTTTTTATTTTTTTTTTGTTTTTAAATTTAAGAAGGGATTTTATTTTATTTTTTTCATCTGTTGGCTAAACACATGTACGTGTTCCTCGAATTTTCACGTCAATCACGTTGAGCATTTCATCTGGATGTCAGATAAAACACTTTACATCAGGCTTTCTCCAAATGAAGGTTATTGTTTCTATAAAATATTAAACATTCAGTTAATGGAGTGCAAGTTGTCTGTGTTTTCTTTGCACATCTGAATGCTAACATCAGCTCACAAATAGCGGGCTGGTTATTTGTCAAGAAAAACTGGACTCAAGTTGGACCTCAATCAGTGCACAGTTTGTCCTCGAGGGGGAGTAATTTACCACTAGACGAGAGAAAACAAGATGTCCTGTTTAGTACTTTTCCTTACCATGTTTTATAACTGCCCATATAAATACTCTTATTCCAATATTTGGAAACTTTTTACATTTTGGGTTTTCTAAGCCTTTAATGCGTGGTGGCGTGGAAACAATGAAAATGTATGGTGTATTCTCTGCTGCAATGTGTTTTTTAAACCCGTATTTCCATCACTGCTGGAGAAAACGTTTTCTCGTTTAAAGGCTCCAGACATCCTTAGATTGATGTTAAAGCTCCATATAAAGATGTAGGACACCAATAAGAGAATTTCATTTTCGTCACTTTGCCCCACCTTATTATAGAAATACAGTTTGAAATGTGATTATAGTTTAGGAACATAGATCTAATGTACAAAACTAAAACGTCTGTACAAAATTAAGGGTTTAAAAGCACGGTGGCTCTAACCATAAAGTTACAACCATCAAAAATTGATGAAGCGGTCACTATAAATAACCAGACATCAAGATAAGCATCGACGTCTGCTATTGATGGCTCCTCCCCCGCTACCTGTAAATCTGCGATGCCATCTTCCAACAAATGGATGTGACAGAGGGAGTCGGAGAACGAGAATTGCGTACAAGAATAAAACGGTCATTTTTTTTTCCAACCCAAACGATATATCCGTAAAGGAAACGACAAACTGCGGCCTTTGACGCGAGGACGGCATTCAACAGTGCGCGGTGCTGACTTCAAGTAGCGGACCTGCTGAAGGCTACGCTGTAAAAAAACAAAAAACAAGGTGGGGGAGTGAGTGAATCGACTGGCGACGACAGCACGCCTCTTCAGTGTTATCATAACGCCGCTGCAGTTTCATCCATCGGATCTGTGAGAAAACCGTGAGTTTTGAGGAGTTTGAACAAGAAATTTGATTTTTACGCACACGTCTAACGGATGACGCGCAATCCCGGCAACGAACACGCGTCGTGAGGCGCACGACTGAGATCTTAATTTCAAAAGAAGTTTGGGGGTTTATTTTGGTTTGTTTTTTTTTTTTTTTAATTGCGAGTGTGGCTCTTGTGGACTTTAACTTTTACATCTTTGCTTAGAGTGAAGCCAGATGAGATGGAAGAGGAGCGGAAGGTGGTTGGCTGAACATGCCTGAGCCGTTGTGGCATCAGGGGGCGCTGGCTGGAGCTCCCCAAAGGCCCTGAATCCCAGTTGAGTTGATTGTTTGTTTTTAGGGGCTGGCAGGTGACCAGAAGTCGGTAATGCCGAAAAACAGGGAGAGATTCAACCCGGACCCATCCATCCACATATCCAAGATGAATGTGATCATCCCGTTCTCACCAGATGTGCCCTGTGATAACAACGGCCAGCGGATGTGGTGGGCTTTCCTCGCCTCTTCCATGGTCACTTTCTTTGGGGGTCTCTTCATAATCCTGCTGTGGAGAACTCTCAAATACCTGTGGACCGTATGCTGCCACTGTAACGCCAAAAAGAAGGTACGCCAGCTCATTTCATAACGCAGCACTCCTCCATGAAATCATCATAGAGGGGTTTTTGTGTAGCAGCCAGTTTGATTTGGGCTTGTAATTAAATCTGTAGTAGGTCCAATCAAAGTGCATGACTCTGAATAATGAACTCTGCTATTCTTGGCTTAATGTCACATACAATACGAGCCTGTTATAATAAAACCTCTTTGATCTTGGACTGTAGGCTGTTAACGAGGAAAGTTGGTCCTCGTTAACAGCAGGTTTGCAGTTGGAGCTACAGCTGACACTTGTTGGTGCACCGCATTCAGTTTGTTCTTAGTTGATTTGAAGGTGATCCAGCGCACAAGTAGCCTACAAGTATGGTAAAAAGCTTAACTATCATACGAATTTAACATGTTGAGGAGCTTAATTCCCACACAATAAGAAAACAATTTGTGGGAATATTATGAAGATAGTTTGACATTTGTACAATGTACAACCAATGCTTGTGGTCATACATTGAAGGTTAGTGGAAGTTAAATTGTGCTGCTAAAAATGGGGGGGGCAAAACTAAAACCTGGTGTTTCCAGATATCATGTCCCGCTTAATGTGGATAATCCACCGGCCTCAAGCGCAGTACATTTTGAATTGGAGCTACATTCTGTTGAAGAATTTCTCACTGGATAATTTACAGAACAAACAGAGTAGCAGAGGCAAAATGTGCTGCTGAATCTTATTTTTACAAACAAAAATCCATCCAGCTGCATTTTATTGAGGACAAGGGATTTTTAATCTTCTGTAAACAGCAACTTATCTTAGGTTCCCCCCTTTTGAGTTCTTGTCAACATAATCTGAAGTCGGCATCATTTTCTTTCAACTGTCCAGCTGAACATGCCGCCCAGTTTGTTTAGTGTATTTCATAAAGTCTGGAATACTCTAACCTGTTGAGGACACGTGGAGCTATCAGGGGCTGCTACATGGGTCAGATATGTTCATGCGTGTCTTTGTGTAATCTCCAGAGACAGCAGCAGCAGTAGTATTTAATTCAACTGCTACTACATTTTCGGCCTCACAGTAATGACATCATCTGCGCCAGGCCGTCTGCAGTCGTGTGTTAGAAAAATGAAAAATCTTTCTGTTGTGTTTTTCCATAAAGTCTCATTTTAGAGTTTCCGCCATTACGCATATGCTTAAGGACAAAGATGGACTAGCTGATAAAAGTGCAAGAGATGGAGCAGTTTGTCTTAATGCATGTGCATTCATTTCTCAGACAGGCAGTCAGGGTGGAAGAGAATCGCTAAAGGCTGCATGCAGGGTGGTGCTGACCTTTTGAAGGGAAACGTCTGTATCATTTCCATGGTTGGGTTGAAGCTGCTTACAATTAAGGCTGCACATAACAATTAGAGTCATGGGTTATTTAATATGTCGATGTATCTTCTTTCTTAAAATACAGAATATACATCTTCCCAGCACCCAAATATTAACTACCAAGAATTCAGCTATATTAGTTGTCATGATACAAAGGGACAACTTACAAATATTTCAGGTTTTTGCTTCATAAATGAATAAACCTGAAAGACCGACACATTTTTCCGACTAATATTTAAGAGGATCCGTTTGTTTGGTTTGGTTTTTGGCCAAGATTTATTTATAGATGTAGAAAATTGGAACAGAAATGCTTTCCTGAAAACGGATCATGCCGAGGTTTTTCGTTTCAGGGTCCACAGCTGAACACTGTTTATGTGCGCATATAAGAGAGCAGTCAGGTCTTTTTGTGTGTTTTTGTGGAGCTGCCGAGCTCCACCAACCTGTTGTGCTACTCTGTGGGAGTCAGCCAGAGACGGGTCATCCTTTCACTTCCAATCTCTCCCTCTCTGCCTTTTGCTCTCCTGGCATTCATTTCATAACTCCTGCCCTGTTTTCTTCTCACCCTCTCTTCCTCATCCAAGAAGCAACCTTCCTCCAAAGTGTCAGAAATGCAGTGTCAGGCGCATACCGTATGTGCCATATGAATCAGTACTTTTGTTGCTAAGCAACTGGCAAGCAAAGGATTTCATTAGAAGAGTAAATCTCTGTTATGCAGTGGCTGTGAGATGTGGCAGGTTGTGTTGGAGGAACACCTCCCCACCCCCTCCCAGTCTGTGCATGTCATTAGCAGCCCAAACATGGAGCGTTAAGTGCATTGTTCATAGATGGGAGTTGATAATCTGTTTCCTTCTATTCTGATTTTTTTTAAAACTTTGTTTTCCCCTCTGTGGGGCTTTCACTGCCCAACTCTGCTCTGATCTGACAGCTCTTATGTCTCTGAGCCTCCATCTCTGTGGCTCTGTTCTCCCAGACTGATGGAAATCGATGAAACACGTCATTTGCGAGGTTCTGATGAATGGCTGCTATTATCCGTCTAGGAAAGAGGAAGAAATTGCTTTCATTGTAAATGGCACTGTACTCACAATGGGAGGATGACAAGTTGTGGCAGCTCCTCCGTCATGGTGCAGACTTTGTGAAACTTGCGCACACTTCTTTATTAGCTTGCGTTGAGTTTTGAGAGACCACATCTCCACTTATCCACGAACTGACTAGTGTTCAGTGATAATGTTTCATTGGACAATAAGAATTCCTGATGCCCCAAAGTGTCCAGAAGTTTATTACGGCAGTATTTCTGCTGGTTTTGATCCAGATACAAAAAACAGCAATGGATGGATTGTGATGAAATTTTTCTGGAGACATTCATGTTCCCCTTTGTTATGGATTTTTTCATCAAGTAAGGTCTGAAATGTCGTGCTCAGTGGAGCCTTTTTGGGACACGATGACGTAACATCTCTGCTCACTCTTCATCAGTCTTGTATCTATAGGGGCCATAAGGCCAAACAGCATTTTTTTTTCTTGTTTTTTAATCATTTGACTCTTATTTGGACCAAAGAGTAAACGCAGAAGGAAGCATAGAAACTCTCTTGAATGATGTATTTCAAAATCTCTCTGGCTTATAGGTCTGTTCATTTTTGCTCTGATGAGACCAAGATGCAGTAAGGTGTTACTCCTGCATACATTTAAACCTGGTATCACAAGAACCACATTACCTCTCACAGACACACCTTCTATAACATAAATGGTGAGGGAGCAGTCTTGATATAGATTTAAAGGAGTGCTGTGAAAACTTAAATGTATTATACATCAGTAGAAAGTAGACAGGAAAGCAGGGAATGACATGTACCAAAGGGTCAGATCGCCTGCTCACCTATGAGATCTGTAGTGGTGTCAAAGTATGACATCTTTGCTAGAGATGTTACATTTGTTTTGTTATGAATCATTTTTGTTGCATCATACTTTTAGAACAGGTCCAATCACATTGGTGTTAATAACTCTAGTTTTAATTTGGCTAATTGGGCGGTTGTCTGCC